AAAAAAAAAAAAAAAAATCTTAGCCCAAAGGCAGAGCAGTGATTCAAAACTGTTACTGAGGCTCTTCCCTTTTCTGGGTGAGCTCTGACCAGCTGTTCCCAGGTAGTAACAGCTTGGCATATTTTTAGCAACACTTGCAGCATTGTTTCAAGGGAAAATGATCTATGTGGGCTTTGAGTGACATGCACACATTGCTACTGCACAAGGGTTACAAGGAAGCCTGTGTGATAGCCTGAGAGCTTGGTAGCCCAGGCAGGACAAGACAGATGGAGGAGGTAGGAGAGATCTTTTTTTTTTTGTTTGTTTTTTTGAGACAGGGTCTCACTATGTAGTTGAGACTGACCTGGAACTCACTATGTAGCCCAGGCTGGTCTCGAACTCACAATGATCCTCCTGCCTCAGCCTCCTGAGTGCTTAAGATTACAGGCGTGTGCCACCACACCCCTAGGAGAGATTTTTTTTCAGCTTCAGACCATAGTACAGAGTGGGGAAGGAACCTCTCCAAGGACCCTACCACAGCTCACAGCACAATGTCACCCAGAAAAAAAGTAAGAGAGAACTGATTTGCTTTTGGAGGTAAAGAAAATACAGAAACCGTGTAGAACCCATCCTGGAAAAGTCCCAACTGGTTGTCTAAAGTAGCACTGGCCAATGAATGAATAAATTTATGTATTCATAAATAAATGAATTTGATACTAAAATAAAAGATGTTGGAGGGAGGAGAAAGGGGGAATTGAAATACATTATGTGCATGTATCAATTCCCTACAGTGAATGTAATCATTATGTACCGAAAACATGTGGCAATGAAAGTAAAAATGAAATGTGTTGGAGAAAATGGCTACTATGAAAAAAATAAAACAATGAATATTTATTTAAATAAAAAAACAAAAATTAAAAAAAAATAAAGTAGCACCGGCCAATAGAAATATAGTGCCAGCCACACATGCAAGCCAATATATATTTGAATATTAAAATTAAAAATATAAATGTTTTTAAAAATACAAGGGGGGCCAGGGATTTAGCTCAGTGGTGCTGTCTGCCTAGCAAATGCAAGGTCCTGAGTTCGATCCCCAGGATGGGGGCAGAGGGGGGGTTAGAACAAGGGAAATTTGTTTTAGTAATATATCTTATCTAACCCAATATGTTCAAAATATTATTCCAGCATGTTATCAGTGTGATAAAAATTACTAGTATGCTAGCTTGCAACCTTTGCATTGCTACATCTTTGGGAATTTGCAGATTGCCACGTTTCCTGCTCAGCCCTGAGTGGG